CATATGCAAATGTACTTTCTTTAAAATCAATATTATCAATGACTGATATATTCCAAATATTTTCTCCTTGAAGTAATCGTTCAATTAGTTTTGCTTCATTTATTCTAATTTTTTCTTTTTTTCTTTCATAAGATGGTGTATGTGATATTACATTTGCTGTACATAAAATAGCATATAAAGATGTTATCAATTTTGGTTTTCTGCAAAGAGAGCTCATAATATTTGTAAACCAAATATTAATACCAGGAAATGCAATAGTTAAGATTATTGAAATGAGAAATGCTGATTTTTTTTCTGCTAATAATTTATCCAAAGGTTTTATTTCAAGATTTCTTTGTTTTCTCTTTTTGTTTAATATATCAAGTTTCTTTTTTTCTAAAGTAATAATAAATCCATCAAAAAATTTTACTAATATAGAGGAAAAACTTTGTCGATAATGTTTAAATGAATTAGGATTTTCAAGTCTTTGTTTATTTTCATAAACTTCATTTTTTGATTTTATTATTGCAGTTCCTAATACTTCTCCAGTTACTGTTGATGTTTCTGATGTAAAATTATAATGTTTATTTACTAGTTTTGTAATATTAATTTTTCCAAGACGTAAAACTGTTTTTACAAGAAATAAACTTGGGGGATTTTGTTGTATTTGTTGATCAGAAAAATTTTGTGTTTTTGGTGTTGATTTATCAAATATTGTTAAAATTGAACCTAATCATTTTAATAATTCTTCTTTTTGTTCATTTTCTTTTGATGCTGCTACATTTAAAATCCATTGTCCAAAAAGTTCAAGTGCTTTTGTTGTATCTTCTTTATGTTTTTCCTCACATGAAAATATTGCTTTTTTTCCACTACCTTGTCGTTCAAAAAAATGTCCACCTTGTGAATTAAAGCATTGTGAACAAATATAACGTGAACGATATTCATTATTTGATTTATTGATAATAGTATTATTATCAACATCTTTAAAAATCTGACAAGTTTTAAGTCCAATACATGGTACTTGAATATTT